GAACAAGCGGAAACCCCCGGGTTGTACAAGAAGGTATTCCAGTCGCTAGCAGGACTCCACTACCGCGAACGCCTCGTTCTCAACACTTGGCCAGCGCTCGCTGGATGCTCGGAACGCACCACTCATAAACACTAAGGGTTCGTGGCGCTGTTGAGCTGCCAGTTGAGCAAGGTCCTCCTCCGGGACTTGCGTAGCGATTGCCCCCCAGAGCCCCTCACTGGCATCGGTATACAGGCATACTAGTACCATATTGCCAAAATCCAGATGAGTCAACAGGACTAACTTGATGCGCTCAAAACAGGCCAGGTGGTTAGCGCCCCACACGACCGGGCTCAAAGCAACTGCTCTGGTCGAGTGCGCCCCGAGTCCAGATCAACCTCGCTGAGGTCGGTTGCTGGATGTTGGATCGATTCGTACGGGACGATCTGTTCGGATAACAATGCGGTTATCGATCGTCGTCTCGGAGTCTGGGCGTCCTGGCAAGTTGCTACTATATTGAGGGGAACGAAGTGAACTGACTAGGAAGGTAATGAGAAGTAACTCAGTTTGGATTTTGCATTGCTTCCCGAAAGGAAGACGCCTGCAGACAAACAAGGCGCGGACTCACAACAGCAACTAATGTCAATGCAGTTTTTCTTGCGCGAGTCAGCTGCCTTGGCAGTGACTTCCATCGCCTTTGTCAACGGTGCCACCAGTTCAGTATACTGGAGGATGTTCGCCCGCATCCACTTGGTCGCACAGAAAAACTGTTGAAGGTCTGCTCCCGTTTGTGGTGGTGCCAACGCACACATCCCTTGAACCCGGTCGGGAGCATGCGCCACGCCCCCGGCGGAAATTTCTTCCCACACCAGATCGTTGTCGTCGGGTAGAACGAACAAGTACCGAGGTGCAACTGGAGACTGCACGCTTGGCATATGCTCAACACCCTGCGCAGGAGGACCAGCAGGGCCACCGGTGTCCCGGCATATCCCTACAAATCATAAAGCCGACCCAAAAGGCCATGCATAAGCAATTTCCCAATGAGCTCGTCAACCACGCCTTGACAGTAGGCTACCGCAGCAAACTGACCAATAAGCACCCGCGCAGGGGTGACCACTCCCATCGGGGTGATAAAGGAGTAATACTCCTGGAAGTCAGGGTGTAGGGGCAGTTGCCAGTAACCCTTCATCCAATCCAGTGTGAAATACACCTTCGGGCCTTGAAGCACGCACCATGCCACTTCAAGGTTCGGCATAGGCCACGGCATAGCCTCGATGCATGCGTTGATCGGTTTCCAGGCCAACGTCATGCGGAAGTCTCCCGGACATTTTATGGGAACAATCCTAGGAGCAGCTGCCCAGCGGGATCGATGGTTACGATACACGAGGCCCGTCTTTTCCAGCTCCCGGACATGTTTTTCCAAGAACGCCACAGGTGCTGGAGGGAAACGACGTAGTCCTGACTTCACTGCTCCCAGTTTCAAATGCACTTTCTAGGGAGCAACTTTCACCGGCGAATCCCGGCCCAACTCCAGACCAAACACATCGTGGGACTCGAACAACAACAGGTCCTGCGTATCACCGACGTTGACATCGCCCACACCATCGGCAGCAGCATCTGCCACCTTAGACATTAGAACGATTCGGACACGCTCACTGTCGTGGTCGCCGGAGCTGTTTCGAGCTCCGGTGTCGCACAAAGCATGCCCTCTTCGTCGCTGAAGTTATCGGTGAGCTCTTCCGTCAAACGGAGCGTCCGATACATTGCGACCCCCAGAGTAGTAGCAGGGGATCGGCAAAATCCAACACGCTTGCTGTCGGAATGCGTTCGCCAGCAACGCCTTCTCACTCTTGCCCAGTCTTTCCAAAACAGGGAGACCAAGAGTGAGATCAACGACCTTTTCAGCGTCGTCAACCCACACGCTGAGGCCACGCAGCACAAGCGGCCCACAACCGGTGCTAAACTCCAACGACCCCAGGCACAGTTGTCGCGTCACCGAGTCAGGCTTGCTCCCGGTACCATAAGGTTGAAGGATCGTCGACCCCATGTTGTTAATCTCGAAACTCGCCCCAGCTGATACTAGTGCAGAGGACAGGCCACTAGAGGCCACCGACAGGTCAGCTCCAGTGTTCAATAGGGATGCCTCGACATACCCAACTCCTTCGACCTTAGCCATCAGCTTCTCCCGCTCAGGCTTCGAGTCACCTTTGATCTTAGCTATACGTTTACGGTCACCGGTTTCACGTATCGCTCGTCCATGAGCCTTCAGCTACTTCACGATTACTAGTACATCGTTTGCAGCTCCCGGACAGTCACGGACTTGGTGGCTCGTGGGCTTGCAACGCAAGCAAGCGCCAATAGGATTCCGTCCACCAACAAATGGGCCTCAGGTGCCGGTGACGCCGCCGGAGCCTTCGCTGGTCGTTGCCCTTGGTTCTGAGGTGTTGTTTACACACCCGCGGCAGCAGCTTTAGCCAGCTCTGAGGTTACCGGCGACTTCGCGCCTTCCTCGTAACCGACAAAACGTTTTGCCCATACTCGCGCAACCAATGTACGAATCGGCGAACCGGTAGACATCCTTCTTCAAGGGTTTGTTTCTCGTCAAAGCCATCTGCTCCGTCACAGCGCGATGAAGCGACGCCGGCAACACCGTGTATGTAATGATCTTTATGATCTCTTGACTCTCCTCATGCAAAACCCACTTCTGCCGGTCCTTACGAAGTGCGGCGGCTAGGCCGTCCAACATACGGCCGATCCGGGAGTCCGCGTCCGGGACTGACATGTCAAAGACCACCGCGGCCTTTTACCGTCTTTTTAGCGTGCCAAGAGTCGATGGTCGACGTATTAACCAGGCCACCCGCTTCGACTCAGTGCCCCATTCGGCTGCACGTTGTTTGGTCCTCCGCTAAATACACACGCTCACCGGCATAATAAAGGGTTTGCCATTCGCTGTTAGTGCTTGTGTCTGGGTGATGTACTGATCGTACGCCAGCATAAACACACGCCGTTCGTCTTTAGAGAGGTTTCATACCAGTCCTTTCGTTTCCTGTTTCGCTTCCGAGGAGTTGAGCAGGAAACGAGCAGATTCAAATTTC